GAGAACACCCCCGAGGGCAGGGTGGTGGCGCTGTCACCTTTGCATCTACCGCCACATGGGCACAAGGCCTGGCATAGGGAGGGTTCTTCTATTTGTAGAATAACTTGCAGATGGAAAAGACAAGGATAGACACTTCCCTGTCCAGATTACCTGGGCCGCTGGGCCATCTCCTGAGGGCCAGGGCCTCTGCTCCTCTCTACCACCTTTCCCCACCAGAAACCTCCTGGTGTCCCGTCCCCCATCCTGGGTGGTGAGAGCCAGTGCCGTTGCTAGGCAAGGAGATATTGCACATATAGATCTTCCTGGACTTTAATTAAAAACATCTTTAGAAGTTGTCTCTGCAGAGGCCAGCAATTGATTCCTGGCTTGGGCCTGCGGGTTGCTGAGCCACACTCTCTCTGGCTGTAGATGGGACAATCGGAGACTCCCGGCCTGCTCCTGCCCTTCCCAAATGAGACCCTCGGGGAACACACCACCTCCTGCCCCCCTTCCTTCCTCTCTGCCCCTCCCTACCTCCTCCACACTGATGTAGGAATCAGTCAGTGTGAGATACCAATTTTATGTCCCTTCCTCTCTTGAGTCTCAGTTTCCTTAGCTGTAAAATGGGGGTGTCAGCATTTAGCCCAAGAGAGTTCCTGGGAGGGTGAAATGAGATTAGAAAGGCGAAGGTGCTTTGCAAACTAAAGCTTTGTGCAAGTTAAAGAAGTGGTTGTGACCATTTCTCATGCTGAGGCAAGTAGCTGGGCTTCTGATTTTCAGTGCTAGGTCTGGTTTTGGTGCCACTTCTCACTGTGGAACCTCAGGCAAGTGACTCTCTGTATTTATTTCCTCATTGCTAAAATGAGGACAGTAATACCTGCCCTGCTTATTCTCCAAGATTGTGAGAATCAAGGGAAATAGCTCTGTGAAAGCATTGTTGGCTGATAGCTATTATTTAGTGAATGTCCCAAGAAGTGCAGACTGTACTACAAATCAGTCTTATTCCATCTATTAAAGATGCTGCTCACAGAGGAACTGGAAATGCATGGGAAATTGGCTGTGGCAGGGCCCCATTCCACAGTCAGTTGAGCCACAATCCCGTGGTCCAGCAAGGCCAACTTCATGGCATATTGTTGCCACTTTCTCCTTCCTTTGCCAGAGGCAGACATCACTAATTGATTGCGGCATTCTTTTCTGCTGAGCCTGAATGAGACCTCAGGCTCCTTCTCTACGATCACTATCAATTGATCACAGTTGACACCAGAGATAAAACTCATCTGCCACCACTTTGAAGTCAGGGGCTGTGTCTTGTTCTTCTTTGCATCCCCACATACCTACCAAAGTGCCATGTACATAGTAGGCACTAATATATGTGTTTTGAACTGAAAGCAACTGCTTATTTTTCTAATCCCTTAGGGCTATATATAAAGGAGGTGCTAATAAATGTTTGCTAAGTTGGGTGACTCAGCTTTGCAACCCCATGGAGCCAAGTACACTGGAGGCCTTGTATATAATGGGTGCTAATAAACATTTGTGGATTTAATTCAATTACTTATCTTTACATCCCCTGCAGTGCCCAGAATAAAGCAGTGGCTAATAGATGTGTGTTGGATTGATCTTCTCATTTCTGTATCCTCAACAGTGCCAAGTATACTGCCTTACACACAGTTGGCATTACAAGTAGGTGGAGTTGACCTGGGCATGGGAGACCCACAAGATCTTCTTGCTGTTCTCTGATCAGGTTGTGACACCCTAGGGGAAGGCTCTGGCCTCTCCTAATCCAACTCTTCTATACCAAAGCTCACTCCCCTGTTAATTCATTCGACCTCAAGCTTCACCTTCCCTCTCTCTCTGTTGACGACTTCCAAATGGTGTCTCTAGTCCCATTCTTACTCCTGACCTTCAGACTCAAAGTTCCAACTGTCCCCTGGACAACTCCATTTGGATTTCTAGCAGACATCTCAATCTCATCATGTCCAAATAATGCATTCTTCATTTTCTGCGGCAAACTGGCTCTTCCCGGAGCATTCTCCATACCAGCAACAACAGCTCCATCTCTCCAAATGCTTAGGCCAAGAACTTCAGCAGGGTTATTCTTGCCTCATCTTTCTCCCTCCCCACAGCCAGTCCCTCACAAACTCCCTTGGCTCTACCTTCAACATAGACCAGAATCCCAGATCTCAGCACCCTCACCGACCCAGCCCCTGTCACCTCCTGCCCGCACTACTGCAGCTGCCTCCTTATGGATCTCCTACTTCCAACCTTGCCCCCTACAGTCTCTTCAACATGGTGGCCAACAAGTCATCCTTTTAAAATGTGAGTTGGGTCATGTCACTCTTCAGCTCTCTGTCTTACTCAGAGTACAGCCCAGAACAACAAAGTGCTATATGATCTGGCTTCCTCCATTTCCTCCTCTCTTCATCCACACTGACCTCCGTGCTACTCCTCATACATGACAAACACACTGTGCCCCAGGACCTTTGCACTTGCTGTTCCCTCTGTCTGGAGCATTCTTCCTCTAACATAGTGTTTCTCCAGTGTGATCCCTGTGCCAGCAGCATAGGTGACACCTGGGAATTAGAAATGCAAACATTTCTAACATCCCAGACCTGCTGAATCAGAAATCAAGGGCGGGGGTGGGGGGGTGGGAGGCGGGTAACCATCTGTGTTTTAACAAGCCCTCCAGGTAATGTGGATGCACAATTAAGTCTGAAAACTACTGTGTCACATGGCTCCTTCGTGCATTCCCTGGATTCCTTCTCAGATCTTTGATTACATGTCCTCTGATAAACAGGAAGGCTTTCCCTGACCTCTCTATTTAAAATAGCATTCCCCCAGCATAACTCAACTCCCTTATTCTTCACAGCACTTTCTCCACAGGGCATATTATCTATTCATTTGTTTATTTCTTTTCTTCTCTCCCTGCTCTATATTGTAGGTGTCCCAAGACTCCCCCATGCCTGGAACTGTGCCTGGCACTGGTAGACACTCAATAAGTGTATGTTGCATGAATGATTCCCTTCAATGCTTGGCAGGGGGCTTGGGGGCCAGAGAGGGCAGGGAGTTGCCCAAGGTCAGGCAGGGAGCCAGGTCTCCCGACTGTCAGTTCCAGAACCGGCTTCGCTGCATTAGGCTCAGCTTGGCTGGCGTGCCCCTCCTCAGTAGCGTGGCTCATCGGAGGCCCCCGGGCACTCACTCGTCCTTCCCTTTTAAGCTATGAGTGGTTTAATTTGCAAGTGCCGCTGCCTTTCATGTCCCAAGCTGCGTCCCTGCTCCCTCTGATCTCCCAAGCTTCCCAGACCCCAGTGCAGCTTGTTGGTCCCACCCCCTCCAGTCCAGATCAGGAAGCTCAGTAATTGTGACTGATTTTCAAAGCCGCCTGGAGTCTCCGCAAGCACCTAGGTGTCAAATTTGCTTCCCCTTCAAAAAGTTGCTCAAATGAAATAAACTAATTTAATTTCTGCTTCCTCCCTCCTCCTCTGAGTTGCACAGTTTGTCCAAGTTGAGTCCTCCTGCCTGATTTGTTACCAAATGGAATGTGAGAGTAGGGGCACTGGAGGGGAAAGCGAGGCAGACTGGGGCTACTGGGGCTAGCACTCATGATGCTGGGCCTGGCTTTGCCATCTACTTTCTCTGAGTGCCCTTGAAGGAGCCCCTCATCACCTCTGGATCCCAGCTCCCCCATCTGTGACATGCAGACCCTTGCCACTCCAAAGAGTCTGGCACACAAGCTTAGGGATCTGCTTGGTCACTGTTGCGCTATGTGACTGTGGGTACATCTCCTCTCCCTGAGCCTTGGGGTCCCCGAGAGTTCAGTGGGGATGCTACCATCAGTCCTGCCATCTCAGAGTTGAATGAAGAGTGAGATGGTGAGATGAGCCGCCATGATGGATGGGGGGGGTGCTCCGCTTTGGAACCCCCCCAGGCACATTCATTCTCATTTCTAGAATGTAAGCTGCCTTGTCCACTTCCTTGCTTAAACCCTTCCCAGGCCATGTGCTTCCCTCAAGCCCTTCGGATATAACTCCTGCTCCTTTCTCCAGCTACCTTCCTCACTTTCTCAATGTGGAAATGTGCAGATCAGTTTTGTGGGGCAGGGCCAATTCTTCTCAGACCAGAGCTTGAGCTCGGGAGTGGAGCCGTCTAGATCTAGGAAGTCAAGGGCTTGAGCTACTTCTGACTTGCTTTGTGACCTTGGACACATCACTGCCCCTCTGAGCCTCAGTTTCCCCACTTGCAAATTTGATTTCCAAGTATTATAGGATCTGGCTTCTAGTACCTCTTCTGACCCATCAGACCTGCTGGGCTTTGAGAGTCTATGTATCTTGCCAATGACAACATCTACATTTATCTCTCCAGCCCAGACGTTTCCACTGAAACTTTATATTGAACTGCCTTTGTCAAGATCTCCACTTGGCTGCCTAATAAGTACCTCCAACTTAGCATGTCTGATTCCAAACTCCTGATGTCCCTTCATCCTCCAAATCTGTTCCTCCTTCTGCTTCTCAGTAAATGGAAATTCCATCTATTTAATTGCGTGGGTCAAAATCTCGATAGTCATCCTTGAATTTTCTCTCTCACACCTCACATCCACTCCATTAGCAAATGCTTTCAGCTCTACTTTCAAAATATATCCAAAAGCCGACCTCTTTTTAGCACCCTTGCTGGTACCATCTTGTCCCATGTCATCATCATTACCTGCCTAAGTAAGTGCAACAGCCTCCTCAACAGGCAATCTGCTCCTGTCCATACCTCCCCCCTCCCCAGCTAATCTTCATGGAGCAGCCATGGCATCTTGTTAAAATGGAGTCAGGTCATGGGGCTCTTCCGAACAAGCCCTTCCACTGACTTCTTGGCTTGCTCAGCCTGAAAGGCAAAGCCCTGACTGTGGTCTACATGGTTGCATGACCTGGTACCTCTCTGCTTCTCCTTGGGGCCTTTTGTGCCTGACTGGACCCTCTGCCTGGCATGCGCTTCCTCCTGGTCCAGGCTCACCCCCACCCACTAGGCCCGCCGCCCACCTGTGGGTGAGAGCTCGGCCACACTGCCGATGTAGGGGCCGTGCAGGAAGCGGGGCTCGCTGTCGTTGATGTCCTGCACCTTGATGATGAACTCGGACTCGGGCTCCAGCAGGCGGTTGGTGGCGCGGTCCCGCGCCTGCGCCCGCAGCGTGTAGAAGGTCTTCTGCTCTCGGTCCAGGCGCTCCATGGCGTGGATGTCGCCCGTCAGCTCATCGATCAGGAAGATGGTCCCAGCACCCTCGCCCGAGATGGTGTATTTGATGGCCCCATCACCCTCGTCTGAGTCCGAGTGGATCTGGGGAGGCAGGAGGAAGGCAGGGTGCAGATTGGTACGGAAGCATCTTGGCCCCCTCCCCATCACCTCAAGTCTCATAGGGGGACTGTTCCTAAGCCCACCTCTTCCTCAACACACCCATTCTTCAGTGACAAACTGGGGTCCAGGGAGACACGCCTCGCCCCACGCCCCAGTGTCCAGGGTGTCTCAGCAGATCCCCACGCTCTCCCTGCGCCAGCCTTGCCTCTGTAATCTGTACCCCCCACTCCCGCAGCCAGAGCTGTCCACCTCAGAGGCAGATCTGTGCGTGCTCCACCCCACAGCCACTTGCCACTCTTTCATGGCCTCCCAACGCCTTTATGGAGTAGTCCGGGGCCATCTCCACCTGCTCTGCTCCTACTTGGAGCTCCCTGTCCTTATTTCTCTGCCTACTGAAAGTCTACTCACCCTGCAAAGCTCAGCTCAAATGCCAGCTCTCCCTGAAAGCTTTTCTAGACCCCCACCTGCCTCCTAAGATCTGTGCAGCACATCAAGCCATCCCTACAAGTCCAGTGCACAGGATCACTGTAGCCAGTGCTTCCCAAACCCGAATGTGCATGCGAATCACCCGAGGAGCTCATTAAAGTGCAGACTCTGATGCAGTAGGTCTGGGGGTTGCTGTTCCTACAAGCTTCCAAGCTGCTGTCCATGACCTTGTTCCGGGTTGTAGGTCCATCTCTCTCTAGGCTTTGAGCCTCACCCCTTCCCCCCTCTGCCCCAGCTTAGGCCTGGTAGCTTGCTCATCTTGGTACTGGAGAGCCAGCCTCAGCCCTTGGCACATGGTGGGCACAGGGAGGGAAGAGATAGATGGGGAAAGAAATGTAACTGGAAGGAGCACCTACTATGTGCCAGGCACTGTGCTCAGTGATTTATGGACATATTTAGTTCAGTGTTCTTTAAAAAAAAAATACTAGAGTAGGTCTTGTTATCCTCATTGTGCAGTTGTGGCTTTTTTTCCTCCCATTTTCCTAATGAGGATTAAATGGGATGATTAGCTCAAGGTCAGACTGCTGGAGGAACTGGCCTGATTCATAGGCCGGACTTTCTGCACGCCATCTTCAAGCCTCCTGGGGGGAGCCCCAAGGAGGGAGAGGCAGTATAGCCTGGCCTTGGCTCCAGCATCATCTCCCTGTGTGTCCCGCACTAGTCACTGCACCTCTCTGGGCCACGGTCACCTCCTCCGTAGCATGAGATCATAACAGCACCTCCCTCCTAGAGGAGCTGGCAGGCTACCTGAGCTGCAAGTCCACAGAAAGCCCTTGGTACCAGCCTGGCACCATGTGACACTTACAATATTTAATGGCCAGCATGGCAGGGGCCCTGCCACCGAGTGGGGCCTCAGCTGGGCCCTGCTGGGTCACCGGGATGTGGGAGGGCTGAGGGAGCTGGGGGTGGCAAGGAGAGGGACTATTTACTAGAGGACTGAAGCTTTTTCACTGTTTTAACAGCAGTACAACCATACCGGCATGTACTAGCTGAAAATCAGCCCTGCCTGAGACATAATAAGTGTCCAATAAATGGTAGTTATCGTTATTATTATATTATTACTAAATGTTGGCTATATATAACTGGGATTTAATCCAGGCACTCTTAGGCTCCAGATCCCTGGCTGCTTTCACTGCACCTAGATCTCTCGGGCAAGGAACCAGCAGGACGTTCCCTTGCTCTCCCCAACAGAACACGTAGGTCCAGTCCCTCCAGTGCCCGAGAGGCGGAGGAAACCGCCTGGGAGGAAGCCATGACCTTGGCCAATCCCTGCTCCTCTCTAAGCTTCCACAGAGATCACTGTGAATGACAGAATCCCGGGGGCCCTTTTGGGCAGGACGCCGTGTACCCCTGCCTTGTCAGCAGGTTAACAGGTGCCAATGAAGTGGTCCTGGAGGGGGCCGAGGGCCCACCCCTGCCATGCAGGAGGCGCCCGGGTATAAATTCTGCTGGTGGAACTTTGTGTCTGAAAGGTGGATTATAGAAGTGCCATTTGGAAGATTGAATGGCCCATAAACATTTTCATATTTCATTAGCCGATTAATGGGCATCTCTCTCTTTTTGGCGAGTCTGCTGATTCTCAGCAGAAATTGCGGGGAGTAAATGGAAGCGTCTGGTGGAACCTTTCCGGGTCCCCGTCCTATTATAGATTGCCCCAATTAATGCCCGTCCTGGGCTCCACTGAGAAGCCTTCTTCCTGTCCAGTTACTGTTAATAGATTTCTCATAAGTGGCTGGATTGTAAAAACCTCATAACTCAGTTTAATGCCCCCAATAAAATTATCTCAGGACGTCGGCCCTGAATCATCGGCAGTGCAGGGATGAGACCTCCTGTTTGCTGTTTATGCTCTGCCTCCACCTTTGGGCAAAAGGGGAGTTAGGGACAGGTGAGAGTGGACCTTTCCCTTTTGGGGTGCCTCCACCCACTTCCCAGCCTGACCTGGTGTCCACTCAGCAAACATTTCTGAGCATTGTGGCAGAATAGATGCCACCCGGGAGGATGCTATAATCTTGTAAGTCGTCATCATGCCATTTGAAACATTATTATTCCCGTTTCTCAGATGAGAAAACTGAGGCACAGAAAAGGGAAGTCATTTGCCTTGTCACTCGGGGGAAGCCGAGCTCCCGACCCCCTCACTCACTCATGTTATGAATGTGGGATTGTTAATTTTACCTGCTGAGTCCATGTTCCCTACCTGGCGCAGGTGCACTCAGCATTAAAGGAGAGCATGTTTGCAATGACCTAAGCGCTTTGTAGAGAGTTGCCTTCTTTCCCTTTCTACCTCCCAGCTTCCCCTCATGTCCCTACAGCCCTTGCCATTTTAACTCAGACCCTGAAGGGGTCACTTCTGATTGCGAAGTGGGAAAGAGGAATGGGCACAGGAGGGGACCTCATCCATGTTCGTCTGTGAAGAGGGACACGGAGCTCACGTGGAGCGACTCTCGGGGGCCACAGAGTCAGGCGGGGCTGATCCACAGGCGGGAGCTGTGCATTTGGTGGGGTTGGGGCTGCCTGACCAGCGCCTGACTCGGGGGTGGAGAGGATGTGCCTGGGGCTTTATCCCACAGATACTTCTCAAGACTCACAACTATGAGCAGAAGCTGGAGGATGATGCTCATTTATTTGGCACCTACTATATGCCTGACATGCGGGCCCATCTCTGCAGAAATCTGAGCTCTGGAGCATAGGCGCGTGCCGCCCTCCCCTTTTCCAGGTGGAGGGACTGAGATGGGGCCAGGACAGTTTGACTCCAAGGCATTGGTAGGTCCCTCTGCAACCTCGAGAATCTGGCTGGTCCACTTACAGTGTTTCTGGCCAAAGAGGGAGAAAGGCAGAGGGAGCAGGTGGCGGGGCGGCCACTGGGCCATATGGCCGGGAGAGGCCTGAACACCGTCTTTTGCCCTGCACATGGCAGGCCACAGTCATTGGTGGCCTCTTCTAGCTGAGCCTCTATTTCATTGTTTGGAAAAGGACTTGAACTCACAGAATAGGAAAACTGATGGGATTCAGGAGCAGCAGAGTGCCAGCTTCTGTTTAGTCACTGGCCTGCTGCAAAGGACTGACCCTCAGTATTCTCATGTGAAAATAGGACAAGTGTCTGAAGTTTCATTCCTGGCACCTAGCAGGTGTTCTGCACAGAACTTCCCTCTCCTTCCCCTTCCTGGTCCTCAGAGGGATTGAGATCACCTGCTTCATCTCTTGCCACAAGAACCATAGGCCAAACCCTGATCCACTGGAGATACAGAGGCATCACCCAATACCTTCTCGTCTTTTAAGCTCAACTTGTTTCCTCCTCCAGGCAGCCTTCTCAGGTGCCCTTCATTTGAATGAAGAGCCCTCACCCTGCTCCATAGCCTTCCCCCATGCACACTCCACTCTGCTCCGTGCTCCCGTCACTCCTCAGTGTTGCACCTCTGTGCCTCCGGCTCTCATGGGCCTCGGGACAGGTCTCTGTCTGAAACCCCCATGCCTGGCACATACTAGTGGCCTGGGTGCTGGGAAATGGAAATGAATGGTCCAATGCTTGCTCTTCAAGGTGGTGCAGAGAAAATGCATGGGCACTAGGAGAGCTGAGTGTGTTTGAGAGTGTGTGTGTGTGTGTGTGTGTGTACATGCACATGAGAGTGAGATTAGGAGCTCCTTGAGGAACAAGCATCTGGCTGTTCATTTTCATCTTCCCAGCATGCAGCGCAGGGCACAGCACCAAACATATTGAATACATGAATAATAAAAAGATACAACTGTCATTAGAATTCCCTAGCTATCTTCTGGAACTTCCGGAAGAGCCAGTTGCTCTGTGAAATCCCAGGTGCACATGAGCTATAGTAGGAGGAGACAGACACACTGAGCGCGCCAGGCACCATGCTAGACCCTTTGCTGTCGACCTCATTGATATCACTTAACGATCTTGAATCAGTGATTATTCTCTCCCCTATTGTACAGATTGGCAAACTGAGGCTCAGAGTGGGCCCATATCCTATCTAATGTTGCGCAGTGGACAAGAGGCAGGCCCGAGGTCAGTCTGACTTCACAGCATCAAGTGTGGACAGCCCTGGAGGAGACCCTCCCCTTAAGCCCCAGCCCTTGATCATAACCAATGTAAAAAACACAAGAGTGATGGTCCTGCATCCCATGGGGGGCTGAGAAATGGGATTTATGAGGCCATTAATTACTTCCTCCTAATTAAATCAAAATTAAATACGAGCAGAGGTACGTTTTCCTTATTAAAGACAATTAAACGGACAGTGTGGCTACGCAAATAAAACGAGTCCAGGATTTAAACAGCAAGCAAATGAAATCAAAAGCCTCCCCAAGAATGAAGGGTCTGTTCACGCCCGTGCTACTCGTAAACCAGGAGTTCATCAATTTTCTTTAAATATTAGCAACTTAATTAAATCTGCTCTCCTCCCCACGTTAATCCTGCTGTATATCTAAAATAGATCTCACCACCCACAGGAGTTGGTCATAAGTGCTGACCCCATAATTCTATCTTTAAAAAAAATTAAAAATCCTACCAAATCCACAGCCAGCTGACAGAAGCCTCCGGGGAAATTATGGTTAGGAAAGGGGATTAGTCAAAGTACCCAGATTGTATGGAAATGCTGGGAGGTGCTTGGAGGGCTGTGTTGTGAGAAGGTGGGGAGGTGGGGGCGGCTGCTCAGGGGGCTGGCTAGCCGCAGGGAGCTGTTGGTGTGAGGCCACAGCCCGGGGGCCCAGCGGTTCCTGCGGGTGCCGACAAGAACCTGGTGGTGAGTGATGGAGGAGGCGGTTGTAAAATAGGTTACCGTTGGGCCGGGTTCACTTTGCGGATGGTGCTGTTGCTAAGCTACCTTTGGAATTCGACAAGGACGGATGCTCTGAGTGGTTCCCTGGGGCGGGGGACCGGGAAGCAATGAATTAGCTGAAACCATAGAGAAGTCCTTTCTCCCTTAAGAACCAGAGAGTGTGGTGCGAGTGTGTGCGTGCATGCATATGTGTGTACACACCACCACTTGTACAGGCATGGGACTGGCTGGAGAGCCCAAGTGCATATTCCCGGGGTAAGAGGTGTGCTAGTGACCACTTGCCCTGACTTCATGGCAAGAAGCTGGATGTCAGTTTGCCAGGAAGGCTTCTGGGATTTGGGGTAGGTGCTCACAGCATCCTCGAAGATGTACCCAATATGGTGCATCTGTCAGCAAAGACCTAGAATAAGAAAAACTAGCATATGCCGGGAGCCAGGCAGGAGTCTAGCTTAACATATGCTAGCTGGTTGACCCTTCACCACAACCCTTTAAGGAGGTGTTAGCACAGCCCTACTCAGCAGATAAGGAAACTGGGGTGCAGAGTGGTTAAATAACATAGCCAAGGTCACAGAAATAATAAGCAGCAAAATGGGAATCTGAGCCTGGGTGTCCGGCTCCAGTTGCCCCCCTGAGCCACACGCTACGGTGCCTTTCTTTCATCGGAAAGTGTACTCTGGGCAAATGTTTGCAAAGAGATGGGAACTTCTCTTTCCTCCCAATGTGGTGTGCTTTTCTGGAAGTTACCTTGAGTGAGAGAGGAGGGGCTCTGGGTGCAGATGTCGGAGGGGAGGCGAGCACAGTCATGACAGCATTGGGGATGGCTCCTCCCCCAAGGGGCACAATGTTTGGCTCAAGTAGACACTGGACACAGGACACTTCAATTGCACTGGGTCAGGAGCCGGTGTCAGGAGGCCTGGTCTCTCAGGTTGGGTCTGCCACTGGGTTACTACGGGGTGTTGGCATGAAGTTCTCTGCTTCTGGCCTCAGTTTCCCCATCTTATAATGAAGAGACTCACTAGGGCCCTTCACCCACAGTCCGGCCCTTCCATCACTGCCAGACTGTGGGTCAGGGAGAGAGGGGTGGGGTGGGCTCGTGAGGTCAAGATGATAATGACTGGGTGGATGCAGGCCTAAGTGGTGAATCACAACTCTGCTCTGTGGGATGTGGGTGGCTGGGAAGACCTAGCTCAGAGCCCTGGCTGTGGGCAGACAACAGGGCCAGCTGCCCGAGCCCAGCACAGCTGATGATTGGGAGATGGGGCAGAGTCCTTCCCAGCCTCCAGGGTTTTCCTCGACCAAGGTCCTCCTCCCAGGCCCAAGAGTCTGGGAGGCATTTGGAGAATCAGGCAGCACTGGCCTCCAACACACAGAGGTTCAAATCCTGACTTAGCCACTTGCCTATTCCGTGACCTTGCCCTCACAGGACCTCAGATTCCTCAGATTCCTGTTGTCAGCAAAAGGCAACAATAAGTTTAACCTGGCAGTTTAAGAGTTAACTGCTTTATATGGGAATTTTAAAAAAGCAACGATAAACAAACAACAAGGTATGGGTTAGACATTTTATATACTCAGTTTTCTTTAACCCTTTCGACTACCTTAGGGAGGAGGCTGGTTTAGCCCCACTTACCCAGCTGAGAAGACTGAGGCCAGAGAAGCCAAGACTTACTTAAGGCAGTAATGGTTCATGGGTTAGGGGAACCAGGTCTGGAACTCCAGGGTACATGGCTCCCATGCCTGCATCCTCGGCTCCTTCACCACTAGCCATAGACTAGCCAGTGCGGTCCACCCTCCTCACCCTCTCACCCCACTCATCACCCCCACTTTCTCACTGGTCTGACTGGAAGTTGGGAGTCCTAGGCGCTGCCAATAGTCGGCGGGGCGACCTTGAGCAAGGACATGAACCTCTCTGAGCTCTGTCTGTCCAATGTCTGCTTTGTTCAGCTGTGAGAATCAACTTCAGCCACATGTATAGAGGGGAAAATAGCCAAGGACCAGGGACGACTGTCTACAGCAGAGAATTTCCTGCAAGGCAAACCCAAAGATTACATTAAGACTTTCCTCTCTTCCTTGTCAAGGGTCCTGATCCCTGAGCCTCTGAACAGAGCAGCTTGTTCAGACTCATATAAACACACGAGGAACTCCAGGATTGGGCTCGTCCATCTCTGCTGACCAAAACCTCCTACAAAGCTGATTGGCTTCAGCAGAAGCCAGAGAACTGACCCTGGCACCGCTCTGCTTTTCATGGCCGACAAGCACCCCATACCTTAACTGCTGGCATTTCTCTAAATAAGCCAGGCTCTTTCAGGCCTCGGAAAGTTTTTGCACAAGCTATGCTCTCTTCCCTATCAGCCTGATGAACTCCTATTCATACATCACAACCCGGCTCAGGTATTTTCTCCCCTGAAGCCCGGAGACCCCTTCTACCACAAAACCAGTCAACAGATACCATCAATTGGATGCCTACTTAGTGCCAGGGGCTGACTTTTTATGCACTGGGGTATCCACGACTCTGCGCAGGCCCTGAATAGCAGAGGGTAGAGCAGCCCACCTGGGTCCCAGGAGCTCAGGGACTGAATGGTTGAATAAAAGTCTTAACTCTTTATAATCTGAGGGCACAGATCTTCACCGCGGGCGACAGCGCGGCTCCCACATTTACTAACCCAGACTAACCAGACTAACCAGCATTTACATAGAGAGGTACAGGAAGTAGCAGTCATTCATTCTTTCACTTAATGAGCAGTTTGTGTGAACAGTGTCTGTGCTAGACACCGGGGATTTAATGGTGAACAAAACAAACACTAATAGGAAAGACATACATTAATTGCATAATCAAACAAACACATGCATAATTAAGTGTCATGAAGGAAAGATTCAGGGCCCTCTCGGCGGGCACATGACAGGGGAGGATGCGCGCACACACAGAGGGATGCTGCCCAGTGCACTGTGGTCAGGGATGGCTTCTCTGAGGAGGTGGCATTTGAGCTGAGCCCTGAGTGTGAGTATAAAGTAGGAGGAGCAGGCGGGGGCAGTTCAGGGAAAGGGAACAATGCAGGCAAAGCAGCAGTGGGGCATTGGAGGGAACTCAGAGTATGGTAGGAGGTGAGGCTGGCGGGGTACCCAGATCTTTGTAGGTAATGGGATGGACCCCACATGCCTGGGAAGTTTTGAAAAAAAATTAAGCAGGGCTGGGAAGAAGAGGTGTGTGACACCAGTAGTTTTGCAGACTTGTTTCTACCTTCTAGATGCATCTCACTGCCAAATGGACCAGGTTCACCTTCTGGACTGTAAAGCTTCAAAAGCCAGGGGGACTAGAGGGGGGCTGTGTGGGGTAGGGGGGCACAGTGCATGACCCTGATATCTGTCCTCCCCCAGCGTGACAGCTGGGAGGAGCCAACACGGGGTGGGCTGAGGGGGCGCAGGGAACCGGGTCCCTAGCACCTGCAGAGGGTGTCTCCGGGTGCTGCGGCGCAGGTGCGGGGGTTCACTTTACCTTGCCCACGTACAGCGGCTCGGTGCCCGTGTACTCCTCCACCACGAAGAACTGGTTCCACACCCAGCCGCGCTTCACGCGCCCCGGGCCCAGCGCGCTGTCCTGCTGGGCCCCGGGCGCAGGGGGCGCAGAGGGCGCAGGGGGCGCAGGGGGCGCCGGGGTGCCCGCAGCCCACAGGCGCCCCAGCAGCGGTGGCGGCGGGGGCAGCAGCAGCAGCAGCAGCACCGCGGGCGACAGCGCGGCCCCTGCGCGGAGCCCCCGCCCCTCTGGCCTCGGCCTCATGCTTGGCCTGCGCGCGGCCGCGGCCCAGGCGCATGGACGGCGGCGCCGGGGCTTCCCCGCCGGGTGGCACGACGGCGCGGCGCCGCGTCACATGGTGGCCTCCGCGCGGCCGCCGGGGCGCCGCCCCCGACGGGGCACCCGGACAGGCCCGCGGCCCTGGACGCCGCCCCGCCGGCCGCGGGGGCGCCCGGCTGCAGGGGAGGGGGCGCGGCCGCACCCGGGGCATGGACGGCCCCCGGGGTCCCCGCCCGCGCCCCCCTCGCGGCGCCGGGGCGGGATCAGCAGGCGGCGCCCCCGCAGCGCCCGGGGCGGGTGTGCGCCATGGTCCCTGCGCGGAGGCGGGTGGCCTGGGGTGGGCAGAGCCTCCGAGGACCAGGAGCCTGCGGGAGAAACAAGGAGACATCAGAGCAGGCCCGGGCGGGGGCGGGGCGGGCTGCGCTCCCTCCTCCCTCCCTCACTGAGCCGCACCTGGTGCGCGCCCGCCCCGCGCGCGCTGGGACCGAGGAAGCCGCGGCCCGTCGTGCGCCCAGTTTGCTGGGACTCGGAGTCTGGTGGGCCGCCCCAGGCCCCCAGGTCCCCTGCCCGGATCCTTCCTTTCAACTCCCATCACACACCCGCCTCGCCCGCCCTGTCGGGGCTTCCTCCAAGTCCTTCCCAGGGGTTCTCCACCAGCCCCCACTTCCACGCCAGGGCCCGGGCCTGTCCTCCCGTCCACCCCCATCCCCCGCCCAGCTCAGCCCCTGCACATCCCCCATCCGCAAGGCCCGCCTCTCCTCCAGGGGTCTTCAGGGAGCGCCCAGCCTGCAGCCACCCCACCCTCGCCTCCCCCAGCAGCGCACAGGGGATTCCATCCCGCACAGGAGCCCAGGAAGGTTGCTCCTGCCCTACCCTCCAGAGCAGGTGCCTGAGTCCCAGAGGGCTTTGCGGAGGGTGTGTGTGTGTGTGTGTGTGTGTGTGTTTTCTGTGTGACACAGGGCAGGGTCACAACCCCCCTGAGCTTGCCTCTGGGGTTTCCACATCCCCCGGAAAACCTTAACCAGAGCCTGAGAGACATTCCTGCTCCCCCATCCTGGGCCAGCACTGCCCTCCCCAGATCAATCCATCTCTCCTTCCCTCCCTCCATCAGATCCTGCTTTCAGCAAGAAAGGATCTGAGGGACTAACTCCTACTCAAGCCATAATGATGAATAATGGCTTAATGTGGGTGTTTACAGGGGACAGCAATGCTGCTTTAATGGAGGAATTTCAGGCGCTAAGAACAGTGCGTAGAGGTGAGGGGCTCAGTCCCCACTCCTGCTGTTCCCAAGCCCAGTTCAGCTCAGTTCAACAAGTCATTTCCACTGAGTTTCCACTCTCTGCCAGGTTTGGGGGAACACTAGGGCAAAGACACATAAGCACATGGCTTGGTGGGGTGGGACAGACTCCCCATAACAACCTAAAAGCAGGTGGCATGTGATCTGGGCTAAAAAAGAGGGTGCAGCTTGAGATTAGCTGGGCTCAGGGAAGGGAGTGGGTGCATGAGTCTGGAAAGGGGAGGCAGGCAGGGGAAATCAGGGTGGCTTCTTGGAGGAGGGGGTATCTGAGCAGGTAGGAAGAAAAGGATGGGCACTGCGCATTCAGGTAAAGGTGTGTACAGGCAGGCTGGGGGTGCAGGCTAGTCTGGGGAGTTAGATTGGGAATTTGAGGTATGTGGCTGGGCAGAGGAGGTAGGAAGGACTGATCTGGCCCCAGTCAAGTCCTCCAGCAGAGAAGGGAAGTGGCTGGAATGTTTGGGACAGAAGAAATGCAACCACCTCCTTTGACCATGGCCACAGCTTGCAGTTCTTATGCCTTTAACTCACTAACTCACCGAGTCACAACCATGAAAGCTGGTGTCAGATACATTTTTGGGATTCTCCACGGCCCAGTGCACTTTCCAAGCAGTGACTCCAGAATTTCTTTATGGAAGGGGTTTCCAGTTAGGGAGCCTGTATTTTTTGGAAGGTGGGGGTGATGGTGAGGGGGCTGAAACTGCATTTCAGGGTAACAAGGATAAGAAACCATCAATCCTCCGTAGAGAACAGAGCGGCAACCTGGACCTGCTTGTCCCTCCTTCTTTGAGGCCCCACTGTGAACTAATGGAGATCAGGAGGACCCACACCCTGTGGTGAGCATCCTCAGCACCCCCTCCCGCCCTTCCTTGCCCACCTTATGGGGCTTGGGGATGCTGGTAGAACCAAGGAATGCTGGCAGGGCCTCCCCCACCCTGGCTCCGCAATCCAGGGCTGTGCAGGGCCCCTGGGGATCTGGCTTTGATTCCTCACATGATGGCCAGGACTGGTCCTAATGAGGCGGGAGTTATGGGTGAGGAGGAGGCACTGCTCCGAAGCCTTCATTTCCTGGAGCTTATGACTTCCCTGCACACCAGGAACTGCTCCCCTGACTCCAGCAGCAGTTCCAGGGCCCATCACAGCTCTGCAGGGATGCACAGGGGAAGGGCTGGCGGAAGGAGGCTTGGGGGGAGCCTGACATTTTCTGTGGGGAGGGCTGTGGGGGACATAAGGGGGAGGAAAGGGGTGATCTCCCAGTGCTTGCAGGCCCCCCCCCATTGTTGCTTTCTCTCCCTTCTTCCTTTCCACCCTCCCTCCCTCCCCTCTTTCCTTGCAGCTTTTACAAGAGAGGGACACACTAAGGCTCAGTCATTCATTTATCAAACATTAGCATCTACTACAAGTGGGAAAGCAAATGCATTTCATTCATTCATTCAACATACTGCATTAAAATCATTTTGTGTAAGACAGCAAATGCAATCAGCTACTCAACTACATATCAGGAGAGAGATGATTCTCTGGTTATTCATTTACTCTTCCTACAAATGTTTACCAGTACCTCCTGGACGCCAGCTCATGTGCTGAGTATGGGTTAAAGTGATAAATAAAACAAAGTCTCAGCCCTCATGGAACAGACCTTCTGACAATAAAGAAATGAAACCTACAATATAATTCAGGGAGTGATAAATGTTAAGAAGAAATACAAACCAGGGAAGAGAGGGACAGTGGGCTGGGTGGTGTGTTATTATATAGAGAGGGTATCAGGGGAGGCCTCCCCGAGGAGGTGACATTTGCCTGTTCTGGGAGGATGAAAAGGAGCTGGGCATGAGATGGTTCCATGCAGAGGGAGCAGCATGTGCAAAGGCCCAGAGGCTGGAAGACGTTTAGGAAAAGCAAGGAGACCACTGTGGCTGATCCAGAGCAGGGGGTGGCTGAAGGCGAGGCATGAGAGGGGGTTCCTGGCCACATCAGGCAGACCCTGGAGGAGGGGAAGCAGTTTCCACTATATTTTGAGTGTGTAGAGAAGCACTTGGGGAAATTTTACACAACAGAAGATGGAAACAGTATATAGCCAGGAAGGCATGTTGTGATGGAGTCCTTCACCTTCAGGGGGCCAAGCTCGCAGGTGGCAGAGCAGGGATGGTGTCATGCACAAGGTGCACTTGAGGTCAAAAGAGCAGGAAGAGTTTGGACAGTGGAATGTGGGGTGTTGGGGAGGAGTTCTTGATGAGATGGCTTCCCTGGGGCAACACCTGGGAGGTCACATTCCACTGTAGGAGGCAAAGCAGAGTCCAAGCATGTCGCCCAGAGATGCAAGAAGACGTGGTGATGGAAGGGGGCCTTGAACCCAGGACTCGGGTTTCCTCTGCTGTGGGGCATCCCTTCTGCGTGGGTGCACCAGTCCGGTGCTGGGCTGCAGAACAAGGGTGGCTGCCACTCAGCCCCCAGTTGCCCTGGAGGCACATCCCGCACTGGTGTTTCAGGGGTGGGGCCAGCCCTCACAGCCCCACCCTGGCCTCCTGGGGCCTTGGTACCTCGGTAAACCAGAACTCCCTCCCTCTGCCTGCTGGCAGCTTTCCTGGCTGCCCGCCCACTCTTCACCACTCTGCGCAGCCCTGCCAGCGCCGCCACCGCAGACACACAGGCCTCAGCTCCCCTCTATTTCTCCCTTTCCTGCTCCAGCTGCTTCACCTGAGTGGGTGACTGCCCCAGGGCCCTGTCCTGGCCTTCAGAGTCCTTCAGGAGAGGCAGCCGGGGAGCCCCGGGGCTGCGTTCAACTCTGCTGGCCTCACTAAGGGATCTTCGGCACGTTGGTGGTCTCCCCTGGCCGCAGGTCTCCACCTACCGCGTAGTGGCTTCATCTGAAATGGGATTAAGAGCCGAGCTCCCTCCTGGATCAGGACCTGTGGGCTTCGCCTGACCTGCCCTTCAGCATCTCCAGCTGTGAGCCACGTGTGCTCAGGTCCACGCACTTGTGTGCATTCCTACTGTGTGCAGACGTGTCTGCAGTCACATATGTCAACACATGTGCATGTCTGGTGCACATTCCTTCATTCTACAGGTATTTGTGAGTTTTCACCCTGTGCTGCTGTAGGCACCGTGAAAAGAAAGACCACTGGCCTTTGTAAGTCTAGTGGGGACACACGAGAACAGCCACATAAATAGTAAGTCTGATGGTAGTAAGTGCTATGAAGAAAAACAAGACAGGGGAAGGAGCACAGGGAATATAGGAGTAGGGAATTTCTTTCTCTCTCTCAAAATCTATTACAGGGGCCTCCCCGGTGGCGCAGCGGTTGAGCGCTGGGTTGCGAAGCTGCCCGCAGCCTCTGAGGCGCCGGTTCGATCCCCGGCTGCTCCCCGGCCACCGGATGAGGATCCCACATGGTGCGCAGACCTCTCCTGCCGCCCGCTGCTCCGCTCAGCAGTGTACTTCGGTCCTTCTGCCTGCTCTGCTCCCCGCTCTGGCTCTGGTGAATTCTCTCACCCTCCCGCGCTTCTGACTGTACCCAGTGCATGTATAACAAAAAAAAAAAACGAATAAATAAATAAAAACACATGCCTCTTTATAAAAAAAAAAAAAATCCTTAAAAAAAAATAAAAAAAAAATCTATTACAAATAATAATTTATACAAAGTGGTTAGGGAAGCCCCATGGTTATGATGACAATTGAACAGAGATCCAAAGTGAAGCA